AACTCTGAATGATCTCCCCCAGCGGCTTCATGTAGATGTTAAACAACATCGGGGTCAGAATTGAACCCTGTGGGACTCCACACAACAATGGTTGCGGGGCCGAACAGGAGTCACCCAGTAACACCTACTGGGACCAATCATATGGTCCAGTTCAATGTCCAAAGCCTGGTTCCAAATTTCAGTTTTTTCCTAAAGTAAAGGAGGGAGGATGTCAATCTAATCTCACTGGGGAGCGAATTCCACAAGTGGGGGGTCACCACCGAGAAGACCCTGTCCCTCATCACCACCAGATGCGTTTGTGAGGCTGCAGGGACTGAGAGCAGGGCCTCCCTGGTGAATCCTAAACTACGAGGCGGAAGGGACAAGAGTTCTTTCTCTCACCTTGGACATCATTCCACAGATATATAAACCCCATTTTCCCAGTCTCCAACAGACCTCACAACCTCTGAAAATGCCTGCCATAGATGCAGGTGAAACGTCAGGAGAGAATGTTTCTGGAACATGGCCAGACAGCCCAAAAAACTCACAGCAACCCAGTGATTCCGGCCGTGAAAGCCTTGGACAACAGGTGTAAACATTTCCAAAGAAGGTCCCATTGAGGAGAAGGGGGAAGGTGGGTTTCTGCTTCTCCCGAGACATGGAGGAAAAGACGATCCCACCTAAACATTCGGAAGAACTTATGGATAGACAGAGAGCTGTTTGGTGGGGATGTGCTGCTGGTGGTGGAGCCTCCTCCTTCCTTCCCTGGAGGTTGGTAAGCAGAGTCTGGAAGGCCGTCTGTCGGGAGGGGTTGGGTGGTGTCTTCCTGCCTCACAGAAGGGGGCTCGACTGGGTGGCCTTATCATAGAATCATAGAATCAAAGAGTTGGAAGAGACCTCATGGGCCATCCTCCAGTCCAACCCCATTCAGCCAAGAAGCAGGAATATTGCATTCAGATCACCCCTGACAGATGGCCATCCAGCCTCTGCTTAAAAGCTCCCAAAGAAGGAGCCTCCACCACACTCCAGGGCAGAGAGTTCCACTGCTGAACGGCTCTCACAGTCAGGAAGTTCTTCCTCATGTTCAGGTGGAATCTCCTGTCTTCTAGTTTGAAGCCATTCTTCCATTGCATCCTAGTCTCCAAGGAAGCAGAAACCAAGCTTGCTCCCTCCTCTTCCTTGTGGCTTCCTCTCACATATTTATACATGGCTCTCATCATGACTCCTCTCAGCCTTCTCTTCT